GTCTATTTTTATATAACATTACAAGATTCTTATTATTACATTATATGCTTATTGTACTCATGAGATTGCTATGACTATAGAATAAATAGACACAATCACTAATCCCAGGTTCTGACGGGTTAGACACCAACGAGGGGAATAGTCAGAAGAAAGTTTAGCTTGCAATATTGAAAGTAGCAAGGTAGAGTGCAGAGACTGAGAGAACACAAAGAGGTAGTCAGAACAGCACATCGCACTGGCCTTCACTTTGTATGGGAGCCGCGCTCCCACGCAAAGCTAGGAAGCAACATTATGGTTTTCCACTATATCTGAAGAAACGTTAGAGAACACAAATGACGTATGATAGAGACAGAGTAGGGAGGGACTTCGCCAGCCGGCCCAATGATGATTGGAGGATCGTGTTGCCAAGAGACTCTATCTGAGTCTGCGCACCAACCAAAGAGATCCAAGTCTAAACCGCGGTATCTCTTCAGCTAGTCTTGACCAATAAAATGTATTGTCGCACGAGGTTCGAGGCTCTTTACGGATTTGGTGGTTACAGATTACAGCTTTGCTGCCTGTGATTTCCAAGACGTGATGAGTCCTTGGCCAAGTAATATATATATTTTGCTCTCTTTACAATAAATAGTTAAACTTAGAAGTTGTCTGTCTTTTCTGGAATTCTGAATCCAACAATGCTCTTCTTCTGTCATGTACACAGCTACAGTTGGGACACCTTTGTTATCATGTTACTCTCATATTGGAAGGACATTCAGTATTTTCACAACACGTATAAAAAGGCATAATCGTGCAGGTGAAATGCAGGAATGATTATAATGTTATAACATATATAAAACCCCACCTCTACCTGTAAGCAGGGTGCTGTGTGGCCTGCAGCAGCTTCAGATCCCCCTCATAGGGAAACATGTCTTCATACTCCACCAGCAGACCATCCGCCCCCAGCTGGGAGAACAGCTCTATCAGCTGGGAAAGGGACATTCAAGTGTATAAAAGCTGTAAATATCTATGTATTCAATAGGGAATCTAGCTGTGTGCTCACCTTGTGCAGGTATCCTACTCTTGGAGGGGCTCCTTTCAGATCCAAGTGGACTAGTTTCTTCCCTTTGGGCCATGGTGGATTATTCATTCCTCCTGCAAGAATAAAGCATATTAAGAACAGTACAGGTGTGTTTATGCGTGTGCATGTACTCGTTTGACTCACCTGGATAATAGAGGACATGTAAGGAGTATGTTGTTGTTGTGGTTTTGTGGCACTTTTCTACAGAAACGCCTCGGTAATCGATTAGTTTAGTCTCCCTGTGAAGAGCAACGGATAGTAGAATGCACGCTGCATGCAGTAAGGAGTTATAGGTTTATGTATTTTAGCTCACAATAGTAAAAACACCGTTAATATATAGATATGTTGTTGCATGGATCGTGTGTTTTTGCAGATGTGCGCCGTGTTTGAAGCATAGGTTTGAAGCGGTTTGAAGCCAGTCGGTTGTGTGTAGTGTTGCGTTCAAGGACGATCCGATTCTTCTGAACCGGTCTTTTTAACATGAAGAGTTGCACTGTGTGACTATGAGAGCTGTATTTTTATTGCTGTACCCTAATTACACTGACAATTATTATTTCATATATTTATTTGAACGCCTTGTCAAATGATACTGAACAATATACTGCATTTGTACATCTCTAAAAACAAATTAGCCGTATATTTTGAACTTTCTCTCGGTTAACAAAGGATCAATAACAACCGGATTGCTCAGAAGAGACAAAATCCCCATCAAGATGACGTGGTCCAATAAAAACGTTGCTTTCCTTTGCAGAGAGCCAATCACCCGGCGGTTACGCGTCAACCCGGAAGTGGTGAAGGAGGGAGATTCATGTCTGTGGAGCTAGCCGTTAGCGTCTCTGCTCGGTTTGTTGTCTTATAAACAAGACATTTGGTTTATGACGGTGTTTCTGTGAAGGGTTGCATCAACATGGCTCTGCTGCGGATGAGGGCTCCACAGGGGGCCAATGCTACGGAGATAGAGAAGAAAATCAAGAGGTGAGTAAATACAACGAGGAGAAGAGAGGGAGGGCCAGCTGCTGTCAACATTTCCTTAAAACACCTCATAAATACTGACAGTAGGGTCTAAACTGTATCTATTAGAGACGTGAATGCAGTCTTCAGACAGAAGGAAGTTGCATGCATGCTGATGGTTCATTTGTGCTTTAATTTGGAGTTAATGGCGTTTATTTGCAATTTACTCAATGCTACTAACACAGGTCATATTTTCCTGAGGGTGATATGCAGGACAGAAAAGTAGTAAACCATAATTAAAACAAATACTTGAAATAGCACATAAAAATAGCAGATAAATACCATCATTATTTAAAAAAAAAGTAAACTAATAAATACATACTAAAAGCGAAATATTTATTAATAGTTAATGACATGAATAAATACATAAAATGTCAAAGCCAGCATACATTTAAACATGTTTTTATGTAATGCCAGTTTAGAACAAGCTGCTGTCAACATGTCCTTAAAACACCTCAGAAATACTGACAGTAGGGTCTAAATGAAACTGTATGTATAAATGTGAATGCAGTCTTCAGACAGAAGGAAGTTGCATGCGTGCTGGTGGTTCATTTGTGCTTTAATTTGGAGTTAATGGCGTTTATTGCGGTCCTGAGTCCTGGACTTCAAGTCGTGGCTGAACCTGTATCTGTGGTCCTGCCTGACTCTCATCATACTACTTCCCTGATGGCTCCCACAGGATTGTTGACATCCTCGTGGATTCATCTTCTTGTTATAGACACATGCATTTCCAAACATTTGGTCTTTCCAAACATTTGGACTACCTATGTTGTAAATGTATTATCTCTTCAATTTACACACGGCATCTATTGCACGTCTGTCCGTCCTGGGAGAGGGATCCCTCCTCTGTTGCTCTCCCTGAGGTTTCTCCCATGTTCCCCTTTAAACTGTGGGGTTTCTCTGGAAGTGTTTCCTTGTACGATGTGAGGGTCTAGGGACAGAGGGTGTCATATTGTCATACTGATATTCTGTACACACTGTGAAGACCACTGAGACAAATGTAACATTGTTGATATTGAGCTATATAAATAAACATTGATTGATTACAAATGTGACTATAATGAACAAATTGCGGTTTCTCTGACTGAGACAAATGGAGATATTCGTGATATTGGGCTATATAAATAAACATTGATTGCTTGATTGCTTGATTGCTTGATTGATTGCTTGATTGATTGATTGATTGATTGATTGATTGATTATTTTGTACAAAATCTCAGACCTCATTTAACGCAAAAACATTTTCAGTGGTCTCTTTACTTTTTTCCCGAAGATGTTTTTGTGAAATTGAAGTGTCTCTTGTGCTTTAATCTGGAGAATATGACTGTTTTTATCTCTGANCTCTCTGTTCTACCATCATGTGTTAATGATCATGTGAAGCACTTTGAATTGCCTCTGCGTCTGAAATGTGCTATATAAATAAACGTACCTTACCTTACCTAAATGCATTTCCAAACATTTGTTCTACCTATGCTGTAAATGTATTATCTCTTCGATTTCCACACGGCATCTATTGCACGTCTGTCCGTCCTGGGAGAGGGATCCCTCCTCTGTTGCTCTCCCTGAGGTTTCTCCCATGTTCCCCTTTAAACTGTGGGTTTTGTCTGGAAGTGTTTCCTTGTACGATGTGAGGGTCTAAGGACAGAGGGTCTAAGGACAGAGGGTCTAAGGACAGAGGGTGTCGTATCGTCATACTGATATTCTGTACAAATTGTGAAGTCCACTGAGACTAATGTAACATTTGTGATATTGGGCTATATAAATAAACATTGATGGATTGCTTGATTGCTTGATTGATTGATTGATTGGTTGATTGATTGATACTCTTGTACAAAATCTCAGACCTCATTTAACGCAAAAACATTTTCAGTGATCTTTTTACTTTTTTGCCGAAGATGTTTTTGTGAAATTGAAGTGTTTCTTGTGCTTTAATCTGGAGAATATGACCGTTTTTATCTCTGAATTGTTGTACATTCGAGTATACGTTTGAGTAAATATATAAATGGATATATATCTATATCTTCCAGCTTTTCCTCCACTTCTTGATTTAGCATCTCGACATTCTGACACCTTTTTCCAATATATTTCCTTTTTTCACACCATCAGCACACTCTCAGTGAAGCGTCTTCATTTCCTTTACATTTCCTCCCAGTCTTTTAACATCTCGGGTGTTTTCGCACGGCTCTTCTCCAAAATCATCGTCACTGTATCCGTGTAGGCGTTGGTGTGACATGCTGCCTCTGCCTGGATCTGAAGAAGTGTCTCTTTGTGCACAACAGATACGAGGCGCTCGTGCTAATTACCCACTTCTTCTTTTTCTTCTTCTGTGCATTTACAAACCAACATGACACATAAAGCCGCATCTCTTCCTTGAATGCTGGATGATTGCTTTCCAGGGGAGAGCTGACAGATGGCAGGTTCCCTGCAGCTATAGGCGGTGGTATGGCGTTGAAAAGCAGCAACAAAGAAAGTTTCTACATAAAAACAACAACAGGGATCACTGTTTACTGTAACTGTAAAAGCCCTGCTGTCTATTTGTTCTATTCCTTATCTGCATCTTATCTGCATTCAGTCTCATGTCCCCCAACAGCAGGCTTCTTATATACTTCAAAAGTCCCAAGAAATACAATTATGGCGCTTTTCCACTGCAGGGCCTCGCTCGGCTTAGCACGGTATGGCTAGGCCTCGTTAGACCTCGTTAGGCCTCGTTAGGCCAGGCTCACTTTATGCTGCGTTTCCATTACAGTTTAGGAGCTGGGGCAGTAACTATAGTAACGGAGCCGTGACGTCATATTCAATGCGAACCACAAAACCAACATTAGCCGTTAGCTGTTAGCCCTCAGAGCTCAGAGCTCAGAGCTCTTCATATCTGTTCAGAAACTAGACAATAGTTAAACAAGTACAAACCAGAGACTGTCTGTGTCATGGTGAACACAGTCGCTGGTTTATTTATGTCTGTAGGCCGTTGTTGTGAGTGTGGACGGTCGGAGCATTTACAACGTTAGCTTAGCTGATCTCCATTCAGAAAACACACATTTTAAAGGTTTTTTTCCTGCCGTCTGTCTGCAGACTTGTCAAAGCATTAATTCATGGTTTTTACTATCCGGTATCAGTATGTTGTTACTTCGGCATCATTTAGAAACGTGTATTACAATTAAATCACGGTCACATATGTTAATTTAGTTGTAGTTGCCAGCGATTCTCTCGCTAGTTTAGCATACTCAGCCTGGTTGTTGGCCCGGAAAGAACCTCGATTTTGGAGGGCCAGAAAACTGTGAAAAAGTACCCGCTAGCCGGAACTACGCCAAGTGGAAACGTAACCAAAAACGGGCACGGCACGCTTAAACCGCGCTGTAGTGGAAATGAGCCATTAGTGAGGTAGGTCTTATAGACTAAAGTCCCAAACCTCCCAAAACACACTAACAAGAAATACAAGAATGGGAAGCTGGATTTAAATTTTAGCATTTATTTGCAATATCCCAAGTCTACTAGTACTGATGTTTTTTATGTTAATTGTTTATTTATCATATTATTTTATTGAATTTTTGTATTTCTGTCGTACTGGATGCTATATCTTCCGCTAACTTTGGAAATGCTATTGTATTTATTAGCTTTATTTGACTTTCTTGGATTCGCATTTATCAAGAATACTTTCTATAATATAATCAAATATATACATTTTCACATCTGACATGCATTAAATGTCTATTATTATTATTATTATTATTATTAATAATAAAAAATGTCAGTAGTTTTTATATTAGATTTTTTACATGTTATTATTATTATTATAATATTTTGAATTTTGGATCCTTTTTCTATCTTTATCCTATAATATATATTTTTTCCTTTAAATATTATTATTATTATATATTGTATTCAACTTTTTTTTATAATCATTAATATATGTATTAATAGTAGTGTTATAGTTTCCGCTCTTTCTAAACTCCCAGCAGTAATCTGTAATCTTCAATTCCAACACACAGATCTGAAAGGCAGGTTGAGGTGAATCTGGTCCATGTGAAAACAGCTGGACTCCCCCCCCCCCTCACTGCTGTCTCTTGATGTGATTTTGAGCACAGCGGGGGGTCCTCGTTGGTTTCGAGGCCGGAAAAAAGACTCCATGCAGAGTCTGTGTCCTCGCTGTCAGTCTCTGAGACGAACAGAACCTGGAGACCGGCTGCGATGAAACCCAAAATCCTTCACTTCTCCTCAGACTCCGGCAACAACGGAACGCATGGAGCTTTTCCAATTAACCTTTTCTATGGCCAACAGAGATGATGAAGCAAAATATTAATCTGTAGTTCTTCAGGTATCATGACGTGGACTTGAATCGACTCGAGTGACTGTTTTCATGACCTGCGACTTGAGAGAAAATAAATGACTTGAAACGTTTTTACGGTGGTGCGAACACTCTACTTTAAAGAGTCCTCTCCTGCTGATGTTCAGGTGTATATCAGTATGTAGTGTCTCTACTTTAAAGAGTCCTCTCCTGCTGATGTTCAGGTATATATCAGTAGTAGTGTCTCTACTTTAAAGAGTCCTCTCCTGCTGATGTTCAGGTGTATATCAGTATGTAGTGTCTCTACTTTAAAGAGTCCTCTCCTGCTGATGTTCAGGTGTATATCAGTATGTAGTGTCTCTACTTTAAAGAGTCCTCTCCTGCTGATGAAAAAAGTACAACATGTTTGCGGTTTCAAGTTAAATGAAATACTGAAAATGAAACCTCAGCACTTTTACAGAGATAGCTTTTTGTTATCAGCGTACAGGAAAACGAAAGAGCCATCTTCTTGTCGAGACGAGGTTTTTTCACGTTGCATTTGACATCCCATAATGCTGACTCTGATCGCAGAGTGCTTTTTTTTTTATTTGCCGCATTGTGAGCGTAGCATTTTCTGTCTTTTATCGATTCCCTCCCACAATCTCACTTCTGAAGTCTGTTTTATCTGTTCCTTTCTGCCATGTCAGGGGGAGTGGGGAGTTTTATCTCAATCCTTCCCTCTTCCTCACTCCTACTCCTCCTCGTCCTCTGAGGCTTTGATTCACGTCTGTTGAGAGGATGTGACTGTGACGGCAACACATTGCTACCAAAGTACCGCAACATGCTGATTAAACACCAAAAAACATCCTAACCCCATGTTTTTATGTCAAAAAATATGTTGAAATGCCGATTTTAAAGTAAAAAGAGAACAGGGTAACGAGGTTGTATGGTATGGAGGGAAATAAATGTGTAGATACTGAAAAATAGAACGTAAGTCAAGGGAACATTTTTAAAACACCAATAAAAAAAAACTTAAGTTCAAGAAAAATCTGAAAAATGTACTAAAAGTATAACATTTTGCAGAAATATCTAAAATATTTTTTAAATAAATCTTTATAGATGCCAACTGAAAAGTATCCAATGGAAAACAATTAAAATACATTTAAAAATACTTGTGTTTTCGTACAAATTGTCGGCTGATTTAATTTGTAACAAAATAATATATGTGTTTTTTTTTTTTTTTTAAATCTGTATAGTGTTAGTTAAAGCTGTAAAATAAATGTAGTAAATTGTGAGATATTTGAATGGTATAGGAGATGCATATAAATACTCCAGTAAAGTATACTTGAGTAAATGTACTTTCCCCACTGTTTTAGTGTGAGTGATACCCATACACTGTATATACTGTATACAGGTGTTACCTGGACTCTGGAGGGAACAGGTACATTGACCAGGTGTCTCTCTGTCTGCACCAATCAGGCTGCTTCTTCTCCAGCCAGAGGAACAGTCTGGAAACAACACTCTGCAGGAAATAGAGAACACATTTATTATTCATATCTTTACTGTTTTATCTTGTGAGCTGCAAGTAGCCTACTCTCCAGGGTTAGAGGCTTCTCATGTGTACGCTCTAATAAAACTGTTGAGTACGTATGTATACAACAAGGTTTGTCCTAAAGGGCCAACAGAAACATGGTCAATAGGTCAATATGCAGTCATCTTGATATTAGCACCGTCACCGCTAAGCTAAAGGAGGCTAATGTTGGGCTACAAAGGAACTACAGCACGGTCACATGACTTCACATCACGACCGCTAAGCTAAAGGTGGCTAATGTTGGGCTATAAAGGAACTACAGCACGGTCACATGACTTCACGTCACCACCGCTAAGCTAAAGGAGGCTAATGTTGGGCTACAAAGGAACTACAGCACGGTCACATGACTTCACGTCACCACCGCTAAGCTAAAGGAGGCTAATGTTGGGCTAAAGGAACTACAGCACGGTCACATGACTTCACCACCGCTAAGCTAAAGGCGGCTAATGTTGGGCTATAAAGGAACTACAGCACGGTCACATGACTTCACGTAACCATCGCTAAGCTAAAGGTGGCTAATGTTGGGCTATAAAGGAACTACAGCACGGTCACATGACTTCACGTCACCACGGCTAAGCTAAAGGTGGCCAATGTTGGGCTATAAAGGAACTACAGCACGGTCACACTTCACGTCACCACGGCTAAGCTAAAGGTGGCTAATGTTGGGCTCCAAGGAACTACAGCACGGTCAATGACTAAAAAGATGATAACGTGCACTCAGGCTCACACACTGACCAGGTTAGCTTCTTCCTCTGCGTTCTCGTCCTCAGTGTTGTCCTCCAGAGAGACATGTGTGGGACCCAGTGATGCAGGAGATCCCTTCCCGTTGCAGTCGCTGTGTTCTGGGGTCCGGAGGTGACCCAGAGAGGGGGGTCTGGAGCTGAGCATGCTGGCTGAGCGGTGAAGGTTTGGCACCTAGAAAAAACACACCATGATCTCTGTTATTTTGGATGACCTCAAAAACAAATGTGCAAGAAAAGACAAGACACTTCTTCTTGGCCAAATCCACCATTTAAATAGCAGGTGCACATGATTTGTACAGGTATAGGAGTTGAAACTGATTGGTCCATAACACACCTTTGATAAATGAAGGGACTAAAAACAACCCCTTTGCCGGTTGCACCTTACTTTGGGGACACAAAAGTGACAATATCTAATCTTTAAGACGTGCAATAACAGTGACAGTTTGTTGGTATCAGCAGAGTTTTAACTGTAATGTCCGGAGTAATCTACCTGCAGCAGGACATCAGGAGGTAACTCCATGGAGCTCCTGGTCTCCAACGACTCCATCCTCCGGTGTCGAGTCGCTTTCTGAGACATGGAGTCAGTCCTGACCAGAGAGGCGTTATCTTCTTCCATCAAACCACCTCCTCCTCCACTTCCACCTCCATCTTCTCCTTCCTCAGAGCTGGACCCCCCCTCCCCAGAAAGGAGGGACCGTCGCTCTCCAGACTGCTGCTGCTTCTTCTTGAGAGACGGGGCTCGACTCAAACTGTTCCAGCTGGAGCGACGGCTCGTCCAACCAATGGGCGCCGGAGAGGAGGAACTGGTCTGCAGCAGAAGAGGACCAGGAGAGGGAGAGATGATGAACAAGCTAAATAAGTTGTTCTACTCTGAATTTAATTTAATTAAACTTATCAACTTTCTTTGGCACCTCTGTGTCGCCTTACTTATGTTATAACTACCGTTTTAGGGCAGAAATGCTAGTACTTGCAACTGTTTGTTTGTTTGTTTGTTTGTTTGTTCACACCATGTTCAGGTGTATATCAGTATGTAGTGTCTCTACTTTAAAGAGTCCTCTCCTGCTGATGTTCAGGCGGATATCAGTATGTAGTGTCTCTACTTTAAAGAGTCCTCTCTTGCTGATGTTCAGGTTTATATCAGTATGTACTGTCTCTACTTTAAAGAGTCCTCTCCTCCTG